GGAATTTTACATGGAAATTCGCCAAAAAAAAAAATGTATCGAATTTTATGAGTGTTGAATTGATGAGCCGAAAGTGTGTCCACTCCATCTGCTAGACAGATGCCTGCTGCAAATTTGGAGTGTTGGTAAAACCAGGGGATGGATATGGCTGTCATATCGCTTAAGTTTGCTGCGTACCGAACATCTGCAACGTTGTTAGCGGTACCCTGATATGTTTTGTTGTTTTGATGTTGAGTACGTGTATGCAGCTATATGTCAAACCCCTGGGTAAAACCTGCATCGTTGCTCCAGCCCATTGTCATTTATACAAGGTCTGGGCCAAAGGGAGTTTTGGTGTTAGTAAAATGTGCAAATGTTAAGTGGTGTTCGTATTTCATTGCAAATTTTATCTTTTTACACGAAACAGCTGTTGGTAGTGACGTATTTCTATCTGTTCGCAGTATGTCGGCAGTGACGTATTATCCCTCTGTTGGCAGTATGTTTAGCAATATTTATAATATTTTTGCTTCTAACACCAGCAAAGCAAGCTGTCGGGCCAACAGACTGACTGGGTAGATCCCACTCATCGGTGCAAAACCAGTTAACTCATTTTTTGACAACTCCATACAGCATGCAAAAATTAGTGCGATCCACCCAGTCACTGAGTAGCCTCAAAATAGCGTGCAATGACATTTATATAAGATCTGTATATGTATACACAATCCAATCAAAAGATTGAATATTATTTTGATGTTAACGTTTTACAGTCCATGAACCATGTTCCCGTTTTCGAGGTTCACGATAACAAGCACAACTCATGAACTTTGATCACGTTTACCAGAACAAGATAATGATTTTCAGAATAGAGTTCACGTTTCTATGACTTGTGTTGCTTTTACTAGTACCCGGTGCCAGAGACGATGTTAAATAAGAGACGCGCGAAGACTGAAGCCAAAAGTTTCAATCGAACCGTCAAACGCGGTTCCAATTGAGCAATGTAAATAAACACGACCGCCTTATGAAGAAAAGCGTGGGAAGTGTTGAGCTTTGGGTTGAATTTAATTGTTGTGTTTGATTGTCTTTATTAAGGCTGTGTTCCATTTGGTGAATTTTCACTTAAATTTGACAGATGGAAAATTTTCAAATAAACCTGCTATTCCAGCAGACTTATTTCTGACAGACAAGGAATCAACTTTGACAGATGCTTTCTCGAAAATCGGCCGTTCAACAACAGAGGGATTTTCGAACAGCTAAATTTATTTTCGAAGTGTTAAATTTAAGTGAAAACTTTCCAAATGGAACACAGCCTAAGAAGATTTTCAGACAGACGCTGGTTCTCATGAAATATTTGCTCCAGCACAACGAAATACATCTACATAGGCTCTGTTACAAAGATCGGTGTAATTTTTTAAGATAGTAAAGATTTCACTCATACATGATAGGAGCAACGATTGCAGATTGAATAATTTTGTGCAATGCTGTGTACAATATACCCTCCAATGTGGTTTATTTGGTTTCACTCAGAGTTGTCAAAAATTGAGTCGTCAAATACTTCCATTGAATAGTAACACTACCGATACGGTTAAAAAAGTATTCATTTTACCGTAATGCTGAAGCAGACGACAGTCGCTCAAATTAAAAGTCACTTGAAGTAAACACAAAATTGCGGGTCGCCAAATCTTGCAGAAAACATAGAAATTAGTTGGCCGGGCAACCATATTTACTTTTATTCTCTCCGAGCGTCCCTTATATAACATCGTCTCTGCCCGGTGCAACGTAACGCAGACGCAGGTGCTACGTTTATTTTGCGGAACAATATTCACGATTTCATGATTTTTATTCATGGTGTACTTTCGTAAACGAAAAATTGACTTATTCTGAAAATCGTAACTTAAGTAATTTTAATTTTAAGTAATTTTGGAACGGATTTTTTTCCCGTGTTCTGTTTCAAGAGTGCTAAAACGATTTGATGAACGTTTGACCATCGAACACAAGCCTAGTGCAGGTCGAAAACCAGGTCCAGTGAGCAAAAACGTCCAACAGAAGGTGTTCAAGGTCGTGCTGAATTACATACGTACAAGGTCCAGAAGTTCCTCAATCGTGCTGAACGGCAGAATTTGGTGCCGACAACACGCGCAAGAAAGCTGTATCTGAAAATGTCACTGCCTGTGATAAATTTGATCAGCATGAGCATGAGCATGATTGACCGCCCACGGTTGCTGCTATGTTATTACTCAGATCATCTGCATTTACACAGAGAACCAACAGATGATGGTTGGGACTAACATTCATCCTCAATGTGTAATGGAGATCTAATACTTAGCAATACCAGCGCCGACCGTGTCCGAATGCAAGTCAAATAGGGAATAGGAAGGTATGTGTTGACGTGATACTCACTGTGAAGGAAACCGAGAAGTCATCTACGCTTCCATTAGCAATCACTGGAGTTTTGGATGTGGAGAAAGGTTTGCAGCAGGGATCGTTTTGGATATGAAGTTTAAATCGAGCATGAAATATAAATAGATGAAAAGGAAAGATATTACCGAAGGAATCAAGTGGACCTGCAACAAGCTGCCTCGTAGTATTTTCATATACTGTACTCAACCCAACAAACAATGTGAGCTGAATAAGCCATTTTTTAGCTGAAGAAGTATATTTTTGCCTGAATAAGCTCTTATTCAGCATTCAATGTTTGTTGGGAAATCATCTTTCATCTTGATGCAATAGTACCAGCCGTAGACGTTCCACGGGGATCAACATGAATTGGTTCAGATTCTTTTAGAATTTATTTGAAATACCCCTACTTCACTTCTAATAAAGTTTCAACGTTCGTTGATTGACCATTCTTGAAATTCTAGTTTAGGGGCGATTCAGAAGCGAAAAATTGGTTCTTGAGTACTGTAGTGTACTGGTTGTTTGTAGCTTGCGTGCTCTCATTGTAGAACCTGAAAGCAGTTCCCTTGTTATTGACCTCCGCAACTCCAACTCAAAATTACGTGCACAATTTGGAACTCAGGTTCAACACACTACTAAAACCAATATGTACTTGCGGTAAACGGAATGTGATTTTAGTCACAACCGGAACGGTGAATCAAGAAATTTATCTAAATGATTGCCTCCAAAAACGTCTACTTCCATTTTTGAAGCAACACGGTGTTTTGGACAGATTTAGTCTCGTGCCGCTATGCAAAATCGGTATTGGAATGTTATCGAACAGTGATGCAAATTATCATGACACTCACTCGACACTCGACAACGCATCAACCGACTATCGCTGACAGAACGTTTTGTCACGCAGTGAGAGGCAGAGTGAACCGGTGGAAACTAACGATTTTAAATTGGCTCACACTGGACTAGCCTATCGGTCTTAGTACTATACTATGTCTGTTTTGATTCGCTATGAAAGTTTGACAGATAAAATGAGGGGTTCGTGGATTTTCTTATGTTTCGAGGGGTGCATCGATTAGCTTGGGACCGAAGAGAGTACCAGAGATGAGCCAAATAGATGAGCACGTTTCTTTGGGACCTTCTGGTCTTAGAGTTACCTCTATGGTAGAGCCATGGCAAACAACAATCACTAATAATGGTCGCTGCTCACAGGAAAAACGTAACACTCGCTGCTGATGAAGTAAAGCACAACGAAAACAGTGATGATGAGAAAAAGCGATACGACAGATCTCTGAACGAAAGACTTGGACAGATTCAACTTTTTGGCCACATCCCTGACCGAAGCATTGGGATTCCGCTCAAACGCTTTCACGACACGCTTGTGATCCTGATCACTAATAGAACGTCCATTCTGACTGCATTTCTCCTTCCATTCGATGCTCAGAATTTTGTAGTAACGTTTAATCACACGACTCATCGTTGACTGCCCGATTCCGAGTTGTTTTCCGATGTTCCGATGAGAGAGTTGAGGATTTTTCAGGTGCTTGCGCAAAATCAATTCGCGACGTTGCTTTTAGGCTGACGCCATACAATACAGTGTAAACAATACACTCTAAACTACGTCTACCCAAATTTTAAGAGAAAATACCCAATGGGTAATTTTCAACGGGGTTTTTTTCCGTGATGCAATTCGATGTGGGACATCCTTTATGATCATTTGCGGCCACTTCCAGCACCGAAAGAAACATAGGTTACACCTGGGCATGCTTCCGAGTGCTTCCTGACCATAAGCTGCCATGAGCCACAACGTTCGCGTGAAAAGTCAGGCACAGACGCACATTTCATTCAACATTATTTTACTTATTATCTTCCCCGAATGTGGGGTTGAGCAATTTAGTCGCGATTCAATGAAGTAAGGAAGGGTCAGACTTCACCATAGGCAGATAAAATGAGATTTGTTTTTTTTTGCATGTAAATGTTTCAAGTTTGAAATTATGAATTCTAACTTTTCATGATTTGATTATTCCAGAATTATTAATTTCGTGCCTAGATTTATCTTAATATAAATCTATTATTGATACCTACCACTCACCACTTTTAACCAAGGTTGCAAATACTCATTTCAGCTAAAACAATGTTTTTCTAAATTATGAAATCATTAGATGCCATGATCAAATTTTTAATTGGTAGGATACAAGAAGACGTTGCAAAGAATGTGTTTGACATATTAAACCTGTTTATTTCACTTCATGAGAATCACAATCAGCGATTTTTCACAAACTCACTCACTCACTCACTCACTCACTCAGCGATCAGAAAATCGCTGATTGTGACTCATAGAAAGCAAAATTTACAGGTTTTATGTTTCAAACGCATACTTTGTAAGCTCTTCTTGTAAGTTACAAGTAAAACATGCCATCATACCATCTTTTGGTTTTATTATTCCGAAAAACATTATTTTAGCTGAAATGAGTATTTGCAACCTTGCTTTTAACAACCCTTAATCTTAACAAAGACTAGTTATTTCCATGATTTTTCGTTTTTATTAAACTTTCCAATTAATTGGAATAGTGCTATTCGGTGCAGCTCCACTCAAAATTACTGACACATTTCACTGTTCCTCTCAATTACAGCCCGACATCGAGCGCCCGGTCGAGTACACCGTTTCGCACCACCGTCCTCAGCACCAACCGCAGCAGCAGTACGGACGGGGAGCCGGCTACCGAGAGGAATACGTCGAACTGCACGCTAAACGCGAAAGTGACATCTAAAGTTCGATAACAACAGTACAAAACTTCATCAAAGAAAACCGCATACTGCACAATGGCATTCATTGTGGTATATCCTGCCGTGGCTTTCGTGGCCATGTTTGTCATCATCATCATCATGTTGATTCTCAGATGCGGTGGTCGGCTGGGACTACGCCACCATACGCTCCCGGATGACAATGACATGCGGGATCATACCTACGATCAGAAAGTCAGCTACGCCTGATTGATTATAACGTGTTCACACTCCCATCAGAAGAATGTTCCCCCTTCCCGCCACATATAAGCAATGATTAGAATCTCTGACGGACAGCGGAGAAATGCCAAATGTCTTACAGTGTAACGTCTTTTAGTTAGTAACAGATCCGTTTTTCCTATTTGTGTCACTCTTCAGTATATTAGTCGTACCACGTCAGCGAGAAAAGATAATCCTCAAGGGTGGATCCGGAAGTGCCCACAATCAAAGCGACTCAATCAGATTCTCTTTTCAAACCGATTTCTGTTCCATTTTTCATCACGTGACGATAGCAAAAAAGAAGAACCCTTTTTTGATTGAAAAAAAAATCCAACGGACAATCTTCTTATACGAAGAAGCGAACGAAGAAAATGTTTTCATTTCCGGTTGACCAAAACCACCAGCAACTCGTATCTTTAAGAAGGATCTTAAATGAAACTGATTCCATCCAATGTTTGACTTACTTTACGTGTTTTTAGATAATCTTTTTCTCTTTTTATACGGTAGTTGATAAGGAAGCGCAATTTTAAACTAATACGAGAAAATGACATTCCAAAACTGATTCAATTCATACAAATTGTGAGCATTCATCCCGTCGGCGGCAGCATCACTTTTCAAGCTTAACTCATTCCAATTTAGTGACAAACCGCCAAATGGCCTCCGCTGATAATAATAGTAATAATAATAAAAAGTCATAACAATAATTAGCTGGCAATATTTTTTATCGCTATTATCGTTTCCAAGGGACACACATACATTCGAAAGCCATATGAATTGGTTCATGCCATTTTCCCGCTATAGAAAAAAGAAAATCATTCAAAAACCACACTGAACAAATTTTACCCTTGGCACCACCGCTGGATGGTTTGAATGCAACAGCAACAGCGCCAACAATTGTTTTAACAAAAAAAAAAGCTTATAAAATGCATACAAATCAAACGCACTTCATTACTAATTGAATCGGTCGCGAGGGCCAGGCCTACAAAAATGGACGCGCGTGCTGCAGTTGTAGGTGTTTCAGGTGTGCGCGCTTTTCCACCTTTTTCGCGGACGGTTTTTAATTAGTTTAAAATGTTTCACCTGAATTCAGAAGGTACATACTAAACCACACGTACACTACAGCCAGGCGCCGAAAAAATTGTAGATTTTATATGTTTAATCCTACGGTAACGTTGAAGTTTAATGACGAATTGCATATCAGAGTATTGTCATATCAGAACAATAATTGTATTTTGAAACAAATGGAAACGAAAAATAAACATTTTTAGTATCATTACATATGTGTTTGGTTTTTGAAATTCATATTCAATCGAAATTGAATCAAAATATCCGAACGTTCCGATTAAAAAAAAAAAAAACTGAATTCATGGGTAGAATGTTTACGACTCACAGGTTTATACGATGGTTGATTGACGACTGGATTTAGATTTGAATGCAACGTTTTCGGCTCTGGCCGTCTGAATAGCAGAAAAACTTTTTTCATCGGTTTCAGTTAGGGTTGATGCATAAAGGGTGTCCACGATGAAATTGCCACACACAAAATTGATTCGCAAAATTCGAGTTTTCATCCGATTGCCATCAAATTTTCAGGGATTGAGAAATAACTATTAAACTTCATTTTACCATTTTACTCGTATTTTATTTACAGTCCATACGCAAATGCCCGCACCTTGGCCTTAACCCCGGCCATAAGATTCTGCACAACCTGTGAATCAACCGTTTTTTGCATGTAAACCCATACTTTCTTCAGTTCCTCGACTGTCTTCACTACCTTAGGTCGTTTAAGAAGGTGCTGCTTCATAATCGCCCAGTACTTCTCGATGGGGCGGAGCTCCGGAGTGTTGGGAGGGTTGAACATTTTCGGCACAAAATTGACCTTATTGTCCGCATACCACTTCAGCACGTCCTTGGAGTAGTGGCATGAGGCCAAATCTGGCCAGAAGATTGTTGGGACGTTGTGGGCCTTCAGGAGAGGAAGCAGCTGCTTCTCGTCGCGATTAGGGGCCTTTTGTACCTTGAACGTTCGAAGCCCAGCCTTAGTTTTGGCCTTCTGGACAAAACTTCGGCTTAGGTGCAGCTTCTTAGCCACATCCCTAACGGAGGCGTTCGGATTTCGGTTGAAGGCCCCCAACTACGCGGTTGTGATTTTTTGGTGTTGTACGGATTACTTTTTCCTTCACTTCTGGGCTTCCGATCGGTGGTCAACCGTTCCTCGAACCGCTTAATCACTCGCGACACCGTGGAATTCGCGATTCCCAACGTTTTAGCGATGGAACGATGCGAGAGATCCTTGTTCTCGTGATGAATGCGCAAGATTTTATCACGCACGAGCTGTTCTTTCGACTCCATTTCCGCGAGTTTTGATCACAGGACTTTAAAACTTGCAGGATGTAAATAATGCATTATGAACTAAATCCACCCAAATTGTCATTAAATTCTACCCAACGGTTAAAAAGTTAGAGGAATTTCATAGTGAGGCAATTTCATCGTGGACACCCTTTACACACTAATCGAGTCAGTACGGTTTTACTGAGTTTTTGAATTGCGGAACTGTTTGGTAAAAGTTTAAAAATCTGTGGAAAATTTATTAATGAGAAAATTTGTTCGGTTAACCCCATTTAATGATAGAAAATAAAATTGGTCCATTACAATTTTTTACGGATAACGGTCATTTGAATTTTTACCGACTTTTTCAGCAATTCAAAAAACCAGTAAAAAATACTGACTCCTGTAAAAAAAATCTTAATGTGTATACAGTCAGGAATCCTTATTGCCGGATTCCTTATTGCCGGATCCTTATTGCCGGGCTATCCGCGAATAAGGATACCCACAGCTTATGGGATTTTCACTAATAGGGGCTGTGGTGGATTATCTCATTTGTTTCAATATATAGAGCTATACTGTCTTGGACAAAGTTGTTGCACTGGGATAGACCAACAAGCCTGTGTCATTGGATTCAGGTTTAATCGGGAACTACGCCGCTAGAGGCGCTTCACTTTTATTTTACTTATGACGGCTGCTATAATATATAGATCATAGGTCCAACATAGAATATTTCGTGATCCTGGCCATATAGAAAGTTACTGTCTTCAGCAAAGTTGTTCAAGTGACCAAGTCCTTTCGGATAGTGGTCATATTAGTTCAGTACTCTCTCACTTCGCAGCGCTAGTGTGCATATGAGCTTGCTATATAAGCTGTATCTCAAAATCCTGGCCATATAGAAGGCTACTGTCTTCAGCAAAGTTGTTCGGGTGATCATGTCCTTTTGTATGGTGTTCATATTAGTTCAGAACTCTCTCACTACGCAGCGCTAGTGTGCATGTAAACTTCCTATATAAACTGTATCTCGAGAACCTGGTTGCTGTCTTCAGCAAAGTTGGTCAGGTGACCAAGTCCTTTGGATAGTGATAATATTATTTGAGAACTCTCTCACTACGCGGCGCTAGTGTGCACATGAACTTCCTTAATGTGTTATGTCTGGAAAGCTTGTCCATATAAGATGTTGCTGTGCAATGTGAGGAGACGAAACGTAATTGGGATGACGTGTAGAGAGCTGTAAATCGATTTCGGCATTTTAAAATCCAAGATGGCGGTCATCGATTCAAGAAAAACTGTCAAATACTCTTCTATATGGGTATTTTCGGAAAGGGAACGACGTGTAGAGGCTGGAATATGATGCCAGACGCCATTTTGAAATCCAAGATGGCGGCCATCAGTTCAACAAAAACTGTCAAATACGCTACAATATGGGTATTTTCGGAAAGGGGATGACGTGTACAGGCCGGAAATCGATGCCAGCCGTCATTTTGGAATCGAAGATGACGGCTAGCGGTTCAAGAAAAACTGTCAAATACGGACTGTCAAAAAACTGTCAATATGGGTATTTCCGGAACGGGGACGACGTGTAGAAGCCGGAAATCGAGTTCAGGCTACATTTTAGAATCCAAGATGGCGGCCATAGGTTAAAAAAAAAACTGACAAATACCGTACAATATGGGTATTTCCGGAAAGGGGATGGCGTGTAGAGGCCGAAAACCGATGCCAAATGCCATTTTGAAATCCAAGATGGAGGCCACCGGTTCAAGAAAAACTGTCAAATACCCTACAATATGGGTATTTCCGGACCGGGACGACGTGTAGAGGCCGGAAATCTATTCCAGACGTCATTTTAGAATCCAAGATGGCGGTGATCGGTTCAAGAAAAACTGTCAAATATCCTACAATATGGGTATTTCCGAAAAGGGGATGACGTGTAGAGTATAGTCGCCATATTCATAGTCTGGCGGATAGAATCTCGGGAATCAATTGAGCTGTCAAATAGCGGAACCAATCGAGCAAATCACGACCAACAACAGAAAAGAGCACATCAGTTATTGCGAACAAAACTTCGGAACCCCTTTTCTCGTGACTCAAGACTCTCCTACGAAAATTAATACCATCTTTGGGTTGGGGAAGATTTCCCCTATCCGATAATGCTGGTAATTTGCGTTCGATTGGCGAGGAAATATTATCCAAGATGGCGGCCATCGGTTCAAGAAAAACTGTCAAATACCCTACAATATGGGTACTTTCGGAGAGGGGATGACGTGTAGAGGCTGAATATCGATTAAAGTTGCCATTTTGGAATCAAAGCTGGCGGGCATCAGTTCAATAAAAACTGTCAAATTCCAAAATGTGGGTGTTGATTTTGGATAGGGAACGACGTGTAGAGATCAGATATCGATGCCAGTCGCCATTTTGAAATTGAAGATGGCGGCCTTTGCTTTAGCGTAAACTTTTGATGGGGACGACGTGTATAGGCCCAAAATCGATGTCTGCCACCATTTTGGGATCCAAAATGGTGGCAATTGGCTTTCGAAGGGACATTTAGTTGCTATGGACAGCCTCGTATCAGTTCAGCACAGTAAACGTGGATCGTGTACGGGGTAGGCTTGGCGATAATCCACTAGGAAGATGAATTTTGTTTAAGGGTTTTTTGAAGCTCAAAATCTTGCCTCGCATGCTGCGTATAATTTTTATAATGTGTTTAACGTATCATTGAGCAAGACGGCAACGTTTCGTCTACCCTTAGCAAATCTTGGATTTTTGCACTTTGTTCGACATAACTGTCCAATGTGCAGAAGCTTTCGAACTCGGAGAGTTGATTTATTTTGAACTCGATTTCTACCGTGGTGGGATGAAAATATAATCCATATTCATTGTAAATGGGTTTAGTTCGCTAACAATTTCATCTGCTGTAGCCGGTGCATCTCTTATGATTTCGTTGATTTCACCGTGTTTCTTATCCCCGGCGCACCAAAGTTTTCGTGAATTTGTTGAATTTTCGGACATGATCTGCAAATCCTCGTTGTCGTCTTGATATTGTAGTCGAATCAATTCTTGATGCTTAACTACTTTCGTGTATCTGCTAGTGAAAGGCCTTCCCCAAGTAACAATTTCCAGTTGAAGAAACGCTTTCGTTTTGATTTTGTTCAGCTGCAAGTTGAATAATAATTGCACAATGTGTTAACCACAACTTTTATAAAACCCTTGTTTACACTGGTTTGGAGAACCTATACAACTGCAACACAAAGGTGTTGTCTAACGTATTCAGTAAAACGTTTATCCAAAATCAATTTCTTGTTGAAGAAACGCTTCCATTGTGATTTTATTCAACTGCATGCTGAATAATAA